TCTGAAATCGTTCTGTCAATTGCGTAATATGCGTCCAGAGCTGTAAAAATGCAACAAGCCATAATTATGATATTTTGGGGTTTGCTGTTTGATGTAGTGCAGTCAGAAGAAAGGCAAGGACGTAGCCGTAGTTTATGATTTTACTCAAACCTGAGTAAATACTAATACTAATAATACTATAATGTTCGGCAGCTTGAAATTTGTTTGGGACTGATCGGGAAACTATCATTTCAAAAGCCCTGGTCGATGACTAGTTAATATATTGATTGTGTACAACATTCCGCTTCCGACTCGAATGCAAAGAGTGAAGAAACTATGGAGTTAAAGGCTAGAAGTTGTACAGTTAATAAATATATTAGCCGGTCGTGCACTATTTGTTAAGAAATTCCTAACTTATCTAAATATACTAGTAAAGTTATCCGCAAATTCCTACAGCACATAAATAATTACACACTGATTCATGGTACTTTAGTGAAGCAGTAATTTGCAACCGAATTTCAGTCGCCGCCAAGTTTAAATGAGAATGCGTGTTTTAATCTTAATTCGCTAGTTAATGTGCTTAAAGGCTGCTGTCGGAAAACGTTTACCCTACTGAAGAAGCGTTTCATTGTTTACCGTTCATGGCCCGACAGTTCAAACTAAGTTCGAGTTCATCTGCATCATTTGTTAGGTAAACCGTTCTTTGAGCTTGGCAACTTTTTTTGCAAACGCTTCATCAACAGTCGAGATGACATCATCGGTGCGTTAGTGAGTAGCATAGTGTAGTGTAGCTATGCGCCAGTAAGTGTGAACCAGTATCCATGCTCGACAGCATTTATCTCCTCGTCATCGGCCGTTGGGTCATATAACGTTTGCAAATGGCCTCGGGGACAAGATCCGCTTTTCTCCGCACCTGCAAATCCTGTTTGAGCTGTTTGGATGGTGTCCTTTTCAACTAAAGTTGCTCGACTGCGCTGATAATACTTTGTTCATAGCTTTGCGTAGATGCCATCCAATTCGACGTGCAGACTAACTGAATTCTTCGTGGGTTGCCATGCTTCTAATCTTAGGTTGCCCACTTCGTATTTCAGCATCTTTACGTTTTCCAGGTCGAAATGATGCTCAGTTTTATCCACGTGCATCAAAATTAATGTACAAGGATTATGTCTATTTATGACCTTCTTATACTCTGTGATCTAGGTGCAAACCTTTTTCCGTCTGGTCGATGTAGTGCCTATCATCTTTGCTTCAGTTACTGTGGCAGATTGCTTTTGTCTTTCGGTCTTGAAAGCAACCAAACTACGCAACGGACTAACTCGCCGATTATGTCAAATCGACTGGGGACGAAACGCATGCAACAAAATTGCCGAGCTCAACGAACAATGCACCTGACAAATGAACAAACTGAGCTACCAAAAGTTAATTACCTGAATCATATTAGGCGTGTAATAGCTTAGAAAGTATCGCTGTGCCAATCCAGTAGTAAAATATCGTCCAGGTTCATTCAAAAAGCATCATTGTTTCCACTGATGGTTGCCATTTCATTACGTTTTCAGTGCTGGTAAAGAATCATATTTGCCTGCTTGTTTAAGGCGTCCATTCACTTAAGGTTTTGTCCTCCATGGTAATCGTTGACAACGGTGCTATTCAAGAACAAATTCCATCAAGCTCCGTCTCGCACTAAATGGTATGTTGGAGATATCCAACTGCTGTTTCGCATTGCATCCACCCAGTAGTCGATTACGAACAACTGCGTATTGAACACGGAAATCATTGGAATCCCCGAGTGTATCCATACGTACCAATTTATATATGTTTGCAATGCAGCGGAAACAGCCCGTGGTAATAAGAGTGCACCTCGTGCTGGAAACACTAATAGCCGTATTGCACACCGGAGGTTTCAGCAATTTCGAAAGGCTTGAGGATGAAGATTGTTTCCGACGGCCATTGGATGTGAACAACAATCAGTCCATGGTCTTAGGTAAAGCGGATCCGCCTAAAACTATTCGTGATCATGTTGCTGGATTGTCAGCCTAGCATACGAGATTTTTAAAACATACGAGCGATTGGAATGACGAAAAAGCTTGATAAGTTGGTACTGCACGGATTGAATGTAAATCGACGAAATCGTTGTTCTGAGGTCTCGTCCGCTACTTTAATTCACAAGAAAAACGACCCGTTTCTCGACAGGATTGACTTGCTCTGAGAAAAAAATTAGGAAAATCGACAAACTTCTCAATGGTTGGTTCACGCTCAAGCTCCACAACACTTCCCAAAGCTGGACGCATATCCATAATAGGCTATGCTGGCTGTTTGGTCGCTTGCGAGTGATATGATTCATCGCAAATTGTTGAATCCAAGTGAAAGTAGTAAAAGCGGAGAAGTATTTTCAAGCACTTGTCGTAATGCACTGAAAAACTGCAAGACAGGTGCCCTTCACTGGCAATCTGTAGGGGTCCAATCTTCGCCATGTAAACACTCGGTCGCAGGTCTCATTAATAACCGTGCAGAAGCCGCACGAGCTGGGCTGCGAAACTTTGCTTCACTCACCATACCCCCTGACCTATAGCTTAGGGAATAACAGTTTGAAAACAACTGGATAACTTCCTACCAGAGGAATGTTTTAATACCCTAGGAAAAGCTGTGCCCGCCTTCTAGGATTTCATCGTCACCAGTACTGCGGAATTTTATTCACATATAATAAACTAACTTCTATCTACTTGGCATAAGTGTGCCAATTCTAATGCCTATGATTTCGAGTGAAATGTTAATTCTGAGCAAGATATGTGCATGTAAACTTGAAACATGGAAATAAAATAACGTCAGTGTAAAGTCCAAAATGAAGTTTGATGTATCCCCAAACTGGATTGCTTACATGAGGACACGGTATCTCTTTTCCCTGATTATCTTGCACATTTACACTGCTTTTCTGTGTTGTACAAGCGGTTAACATATCGCATATTTATTTCTTACACTCCATCACTGACACATCCTTGAGGTTTCAAGGTCATTCTTATTAATATGTTACTGTGACACTACCCAAATACTCAATCCGCCCCACGCTGGACAGTTTCTGCCCACCTGCATTACGATTGCGAAACCTATTCCTAAGTCATGTACTGTATTTATTATGCCTTATAGAACCACGGTTACAGGATAATTCGTTTTATTCTTCAGTCCAGACCGTGCGTTAAGTCTAGATTTATCTGTGCGTAGTTTCTAGTTTATTTTTCGTACGGCGTACTTAGTTTAGGCTCAGTGACGTTGGTACAGTCAGCACCAACATAATATAAGTGCCTATATTTGGGCCAGAAGCTTTGGACTTTAGTAGATAGAAGATATTTAATCTGATCGTTCTACAAAATAGGAGGTATCCCGCCCGTCGGAATAATATATGCATATTGAATTATTTATTATTCATCATTGCGTCTACCGACTGCAGATTGCGGTGTTACCAGCAGTGCACTTGTATTCTGCCAAGCATTTTGCTTTCGGCCCCGGACCATGTTGACGCAATTGTCCTTAATGAATGTCACGCACTTGCATAGGATATTATCATTATTCATGTATGTAGATGTTTCATTATTTCATTTGCCTCCAGGATTTCATTCGATTATCTTTCTGACTCTTATATCGGCGCATACAGGTTACTAAAAGTTTCCTACTTTGAATCTGCTGCGCGGCACGTGTGGCTAAACGTGCCCTCGTCGTGCTTAGTGTGAGCGGTCCGTTAGTAAAGATATAAATAAATAAATGTGTATATTTAACAACAAACGGTACACGACCCTATAAGCAAGAGCGATCATTTGTATAGTGAGTAAGCTTCCTGGTTTATGCGCCGTAAATCATGTTGTAAAGATTAACAATAGAATTTTTGATCATGCTTTTTTGCCTCGGGTCCAAGACCCGAGCACCTTATATGTAAAATGTACGGATATTTGTACCATCATTTTATAGTTTGTGGGGCTCATGGGTAGATAATAGAAGGGAGGGGATACTAGGCTGCACAGACGCAACGTTTGGTATTGTAGTAATAATATGTAGTGGGTAAGCTATTGTGACCAAGGATACAATTCTTACAATAGAGTAACAAAAATTAGTCCTTACGGTTAACGTGCAAATGTTTTGAATACATTTAACATAGTGTATGCAAACTTTCAAAAGTGTTGGTCGCTTACGCAAGTCAAGCCATTATTGCAAAATAAAACTTTAGGATTTTAAGCATTCCGTGGATTTGTTAGACGTCTATTCAGCTAAAGAGGCCATGTCTACAATGTACGATTTTATTTTATGAAGGATTGCAGTTGTCCGTCCAGAGCTTTCTCTAGTTTGGACAATGAAAATTTAGGCCAGAATCCGCTGGGTATGAGAGAAATTGCAGTCTGCATTGGTGACTAGCAGTTTATGCTGGTAAACAACCCACATTTTTATAGTAGACCTGGCCCAGTTTTCGACCTACATATGGTGCAACACACACCTAGTGTATTTGTGTTTCTATTGGCAGAGATAGCAAAATTTTAAAATATCGTCCAGGTTCATTCAAAAAGCATCATTGTTTCCACTGATGGTTGCCATTTAATTACGTTTGCAGTGCTGGTAGAGAATCAGATTTCCCTGCTTGTTTAAGGCGTCCATTCACTTAAGGTTTTGTCCTCCAAAGTAATCTTAGAAAACGGTGCTATTCAAGAACAAACTCCATCAAACTCCGTCTCGCACTAAATGGTATGTTGGAGATATCCAACTGCTGTTTCGCATTTCATCCACCCAGTAGTCGATTACGACCCACTGCGTATTGAACAAGAAAATCATTGGAATCCCCGAGTGTATGCATACGAAAAATGTAAAAATTTGTTCAGGTATATTTCAGCATTAAGGCTTTGGACAATGAAGTGACGACAAATAATATATCATGCTTTTATATGTTGCCGTATTTGCATAATGTTACTGCACTCATAGTATACTTATGTATTTATAGCATATATTATATGTAGGCAACGAAATTTAAGGAACAGATCACTTACATACTCCTCGATATCTGACAGCTTTAAAAAATAGACGGCTTTGGTGTGAAAATGAGGGTCACGATAACTAAAATATCGAATAAGGTATTGTTACACTTTAATTCCACCATTTAGTTCATTATGCCGTACTAATCATTTAAGTGTACAGGGATTAAATAGTTTTTTTAAAGTTTTGCACAATTAATTCTTGCAAACTGGGGAAATATCCGGACTGATACAACTGCATTGTAGATATTTGTGTATGCCATAAAGCTCATCAGAAATGCCACTCATTTTGACCTAGTATTACAGCTACTCCAGTAAGGAATTGGTCCAACTCTCGAGTATGTAGCCTAAATGCGTAATTTGAAGGAATCACAAAAATGGTAACATGACCACAAGTGCAAATGTCACTTGCTAATGACATGTTGTAACGTAAGCAATATTAACACGTCTACAATATTTTTAGACTGCGTTCGTGCAGGATTCATTTTGCAACATTGTTCTCTGCACTTGTTAAGGAGTGAAATCTTTGGAAATTAGGTAGACTAACCGTCTATCTGATTAGAAATGTGGTTGTGTGGATATTCCCGACTGATCTGCTTGAAGCAGGTATGGGATCAGCAAACTGTATGCCACGAACTGAGGAAATTTCAATTAGAGATGAAAGAAAGTAAATGTTTCTAACCGCTTCCGTCATTTTGTAGGCATGAAAGCCTGTAAAGTAAAATATTTAGTATTTTGACCATTCAGATGTCTGTGGAAATTCTGCGACACTATATAAGTGTGCACTGTTTGAAAATAAGATAGGATTTTACTGGAAAATGTCCGAGTGTACCAGGCTATTTGGTGTGACGGGGACAGTTTGTCGGGTAAAGATATGATCATTCATGCGCGCGAACATGTTTCATGTTTCATCCACATTCTGAAACTTTGCGTGATGTATGCAATCGGTTGCAAAAACCAGATAGTAATATGTATGTTACAGTGAACTTGTGTCTCCTTGCAAACTACAGGTACATGCCTGATAAGATGGGTATTTTGGACTGTTAATTGACCATTTTATGTATATTTATTGCATATCACTGTCCAAAAATGTCAGCGTGAATTTAGTTAATTGCTCGATTCAACGCTTGTCCTCTCATAACGAATGACTTCTCCCACGCTTTTCCCCAACCATTTATTCGAACAGTGGCACTGTTGGAAGTTGTGCACGAAAACTATAAACGCACTATGGTATGCAAATTATATGTTACTTTTCTCGGTATTTAATAAAGAGCTAGTGGCCCATCAGCTCCGACCCGGAATGTGTGTACTGGTAGTAAGAAATTCCGTTACACTGCACGACCCCACTTCAAAATGTTTTTACAATTATGGTAGTTTCGATGTTCGCTATAAATGTTTTTATTGTTATGAAAATGTGCTGCTTCTGAACGTTGTCATCTTAAGTTAAACATTTTAATTAGATGCAGAATTATGTTGAGGAGTCACAAGCTGATTAAATTCATTTTATGCTACTATCGGAGGAAGTGATATGGTTCATCTTGCAGCAAATAATCTGCGAGCTGTTTTGTCGGCCGACAATATTGTGGATAACAAGATTCATTGCTTTTGCAACTGTTGCGGACGAGCATAATTTTCAGTTTGGAGAATATAGTTCATGCACAGTTGTGGGAGCAAGTTCCTATCTGTTTACACATTAGTTTTCTTAAACAAACCGTACACATAACTGCTGATATGCAGGTGTAGCACATAGAAGTTGCATTAGATGCAGACACAAGTTGCATTTCTGTTTGTTGGCTCACGGCTAGACTTTTTGCCGTATTCTATCCATTTTTCTTTTTCGTGGCAATATGCCAGGATAAATTATTACAATTTCAGTAACGTTGAGTTGCCATCTCTACTGAAACAACAGTTCAGTCCGTACAGCCTTAAACACTCTTATCAATTACTTGGCGACCTGGATGAACTCAACCTGTCAGACAAACTCATATGTGGAATCCCTATTTACCAATGTCTCGCTGTACCAGACGGTTGATTACCTGTGCAAATTAGCTAAAACTGGTGACTGTCCGCCATAAATTACGACTGCATTGCTGATAGAATCTTTTCTTTTGTGCATGGAGAATGTAGATTTTCTTTTTCGGAGTATACCATAACCTCAAATCGACAGCGTAGCAATGGGTAGCCCATTAGGTCCTGTTCTTGTTGATTTCTTCATGCTTGTGGTTGAAAGAAGCTTTTATACGAAAATAGCCCAGGTGCTCTGCTTCTAATGATATAGCAATGATATATTGGCTCTCTGTGCATCGGAGCAGCAACTCACACATTTGGTAGAGTGGCTCAATGAGACTCATGCTAACTTACGGCTTCCATGTGAAGTAGAACAGAACAATGGTTCTCCATATCTGGACATACTCATAAGTCGCTGAGATAATGGATTGATTAAGAGGTCTGTTTACCGAAAACCACCTCGGTCCGATCAGTACCTGCACTTCGCTAGTTTCAGACCCTTGCCGTGCAAAGGATCACTTGTGAAAACTCTACTTAGTTGTGCCAGGCGAATTGGTTCGGCCGACTGTTTGGACGATGAGCTAGAGTTACTTACAGCAACACTAATGGCGAACGGCTGCCCTCGAAGGTTTATCAAGAAACACAGCCAACCGCGAGGGCCAAAGGAGTTGTTGCACACGGTAACTCGGAAGAACGTGTATATCGAGTTAGCTTTCAAAGGTGACTTAGTTACGCTGAAGACAACTAAGCGTATAACTTCGGCTACGCAAGGAAGTTACTATGCTGCACAAGTTGTCGTCATCAACCGAACCCGAAATTTGCCTATACCGCCAATGAGGGAATCACTGTGTATACCAATTTGTATGTGACTGCGGAAACAATTACATAGGCAGAACTAATAGAAGGCTGACTACCCGAATAAAAGAAAATGTATCAAGGTATATCAACCTGAAGTTGCTCAGGTTGCTTTCCCTCGTCAGATTCCATGTTCGCGCAGACCGCCGAGTTCCTCGATAGGCAAACATCTATTAGACTCGGGTCGCCGGATAGAGCTGGGCTCAGCGTTTAAAGTTGTGTTACGTCACACTAATCATCGCTTCCTTCAATTTGCTCAGGTTGTCGCTATAAACCTGGTTTATGCCAGCTTTGTCGGTTTAGAAACAATTATTTATCAACTGAAAGCTGCCTTGGAAGTAGGTGTGAACTTGTGTCATTCGTCTTGCACCGCATTCTTGTCTGGTTAGACGCACTGTTACCTATATCTATGCTTATCTGTTATTGTTAATGGTGCTAAAGAGACAATACAAAATGCACGCATGTACCGGCCTTTGTCTTCTTTTCGTGCTTTTTAAATTGTTGAAGGGAACTAACTGCTTTAGACTTGATCCAGCTAATTAGCGCGATGGCCAAATGGACGTAATAGATCGCCCGATAGAGGCTTGATTTGACCTCGGATTGGAAATGATTATACAACGGAATAGAAATGGTTGAATCAGCGAAATGTCACATAAGGCAACCCATCCTTAACTTTCATTTATAATCCGATATTACCTACTTTGAGATCGAATAGTTCTATGCTAAAGCACAAAATTATCGCTAGTATTAGTTTGGTAATAACGTTAATACGTTTTCTTGATACTTCTCTTTCAACAACTTTGCTTTTAAATTACCTTTAATTATTTGCATTGAACAGTTAAATCATTTAGTGTCTATTTCGCACTATAACAATATATGGCGATAGTTTTGCGCAGTAACAGATTTTTAAATCTTTACCGAACATGTAATGCAACGTAGATGGAAGACAAATTCGCACAATTTCCGCGTACCAATTTATACTTGTTTGCAAGGCAGCGGAAACAGCCCGTGGTATCAACAGTGCACCTGGTGCTGGAATCACTAATAACCGTATTGCACACCGGTGGTTTCAGCAATTTCGAGAGGCTTGAAGATGAAGATTGTTTCGCACGGCCATTGGATGTGAACAACAATCAATCCAAAGTATTAGTTAAAGCGGATCCGCCTAAAAATACTCGTGATCATGTTGCTGAATTGTCTGCCTAGCATACGAGAGTTTTAAAACATTTATGAGCGATTGGAATGTCGATAAGCTTGTTAAGCTGGTGTTGCACGGATTGAATTTAAATCGACGAAATGGTCGTTCTGAGGTCTCGGCCGCTCATTTTATTCACAAGAAAAACGACCCGTTTCTCGACAGGATAGGCATGCTATGAAAAAAGATCCTTTAGGACAATCGACGAACTTCTCAATGGTTGGACCACGCTCAAGCTCCACAACACTTCCCAAAGCCGAACCTGCACCCAAAATAGGTTATGGTGACTGTTTGGACGTCTGCAAGTGGTATGATCCATCGCGAATTTTTGAATCCAAGTGAAAGTAGTATAGCGGGGAAGCATTGTCAACCAATTGTCGTAATGCACCGAAAAACTTCAAGACAGGTGCTCTTCACTGGCAACCTGTAGGTACCAATTCTTCTCCATGATGTCCCTCGGTCGTAGGTATCGCTAATAACCTTTTGGAAACCGCACGAGCTGGACTACGAAATTTGATTCACTCAACGTACTCCCCTAACCTCTAGCTTACGGATTAAAAGTTTTCCAAGAACCTGGATAACTTCCTATGAGAGAAATGTTTTAATACCGTAGGAGATGCTGAGCCCGCCTTCTAGGATTTCATCGCCACCAGTACTGCGGAATTTTATTCACCTATAATAAATTAACTTCTATTTCCTTGGCATAAGTGTGCCAATTCTAATGCCTATGATTTCGAGTAAAATGTTAATACTCAGCAAGATTTGTGCATGTAAACTTGAAACATGGAAGTAAAATAACTTCAGTACCAACCTAATATAAGTGCCCAAATTTGGGCCAGAAGTTTTAGACTTTAGTAGATAGAAGGTATTTAATGTGATCGTTCTACAAAAGGAAACCGACCCCGCTCGTCGGAAAATATGCCTATTCAATTATTTATTAACCATACTTGCGTCTACAGGCTGCGGATTACGGTGCTACAAGCAGTTCACATGTATTCTGCCAAACATTTTGCATTCGACGCTGGACCTTGTCGACGAAATTGTCACTGGTGAATGTCATGCATTTGCATAGGATATTATCATTATCCATTTACGTAGATATTGCATTAATTCATTAACCTCCAAGATTTCCTTGGACTATATACCTGAATCACAACATAGAGGCACGTACAGCCTAATAAAAGGGTCCTGCTATGACGCTGCAGCGCGGCACGTGTTGCTAAACGTTACATCGTCGTCCTCCATGTGAGAATTTAGTTAGTAAATAACTAAAGAAATAACCTTTTATATTTACCAACAAACGGTACACGACCCATAAGCGGGAGCGATCATTTGTATAGTGAATAAGCTTCATGGTTTATGCGCCGTAAATCCTATTAGTAAAGTTTATTAACTGGATTTCGGATCACGATTTTTTTCCTCAAATCCTAGACCAGAGCGCCTAATGTGTAAAATTTACAAATATTTGTTTCAGCATTTTATATTTTGTAGGGCTCAGGGGTAGATAATAAAAGGGTGGGGATACTAGGCTGCACAGACACAATAGTTGGTATTGTAGTTCATGACATGGAGTGGATAAGCTAGTGTGACCAACAATATAACTCTTACAGTAGAGTAAGCGAAATTACTTCACAAGGTTGAAGTACAACTGTTGTGAATACATTTAACATTGTGTATGCGAACCTTCAAAAGTATTGGTCGCTTACGTAAGTTAAGCAATTATTGTAAAACAACACTTTAGAATTGTAGGCATTCCGTGGATTTGTTTGACGTATAGTCAGCTAAAAAGACCATGACTACAATCGACGATTTTATTTTATGAAGGATTGCAGTTGTCCGTTCAGCGCTTTTTCTAGTTTGAGCAATGAAAAGGAGGCCAGCATCAGCTGGGTATGGCGGAAATGGCAGTCAGCAATGGTAACTAGCGGTTTATGCTGGTAAACAACCCATGCTTTTTATCGTAGAACTGGCCCAGTTTTGGACCTACGTATGGTGCAAAACACACCTAGTGTCTTTGTGTGTTTACAGTGGCAGAGATAGCGAAATTCCAAATATGTATTCAAATAACAGTAGTTTAAACGTGGGAAAATTCTGTAGAACAACGAGCAACGATAGCCAGGTTACCTTTTAAACTGGGCCATTGAATTGCGTCCACCTTTATTTCACTCATAAAAGGCAACTGTATAAGTCGCTCCAGTTTGTTTAGCGCCTCCATTTGCAAATCCGGGTAGTCCCACGGTGCCTCAACGCGGTTCCGTATTACAATCATGAAGGAATTTTCTCCATAGCTTCTTACAGTTGTCTTTGGCTCAATTTCAAGTTTGAAGTCTGGAAGCACTTCTTTTATCTAGGGAAAAGATAGCAGTTGCAGCAGTTTACTTAGAAGACAACATTATTGGTTAAATACACAGAATGTATTATACGGTCCATAAAAATAGCAGGGCAATTTCCGTCGTACAGTGCACTCAGTATTTTGTGTCCGATTTCTAACCACTGTGTCAAGCCTTCTTTGCTTAAATAAATAGGCTATTGAACATGAGGAAATCTGCCAGTCACCATGAGCCGAGTGCCGCTCTCGGATCAGGGCATTAAATGTCGTTGTATTTGTGTAGCCGGGTAGCACTTCAGTATCTTTAATGTATTCCTCTTAGTAGTTCACAAGCGACATAGCTCAACCACAAACCGACAAAGCACTAGACGCAATGCACCCCATTATGGCTCCTCACGGTGCTCATTCCGTCGTTCCCCTACTAAGTTTTGAACTTATGACGGCTGGAGGCTGACGCCAGTAGTCAGAAGGTTGAGCCACTGAGGCATGGGAGACCGGCTGGGCTAAATAATTTGCAAGCTAACTGGGGCATAGCACGAGCTATCTTCCACTGTCAAGCAGATTGCTACCATTGCAGATGACAGAAATTAGCTTCCAAATCATGCGTCCTCTCACTAGGATAGGGGTGTCTAAAGTTTTCGGAAACTGGGCCACATATTATGTGGAAAATTGTGCTGGGTTCTATTAAGTTTGATATTTAGATGGGATTAGGCTGCGGGCCACTTCAAATACTAACGCGGTTCGCAATCTCCCACGGGCTGGACTTGGACTTCCCTGCACTAGACGCTATATCCATAGCATTTGAAACTAGGAGAGGCTGCATTTTATAGTGCTTAGTTGTAAAACACACAGCAATTGGGAATTTCTTTCTCTTGTTCTATTACACAAGAGATTGCAAACTAGACTATGCTAAGTACTTTCAAAGAGGGAATTAGTCCTTATAAGTAAGCTCCACCTCTTACTAAGCGCGAATGTTTGATGACCAGTTAATGTCATCAAGCAAAAGATACCAAATGATTTCCTCTACACATAGCTGATTCATGTTATATTCATTATTACATTACCGAGATTATTTGCATGTGCATGAGTAAAAGGTTAACCAACTTTTTTGAAATCTGCTTACCCGCTGTGACAATACATTTCCATCTCCCACCCATGCGGGCAAACGAACCTTGAATCCTGAAGTGGAAGTTGAAGAATACGATAGACGAATATGTTGCACCATGGCACATGAGCAATACTGGCAACTTTTACCACAATTTACCCGTTTTTGCAACAAATTCCCACCGTCAGGTGATCAAATTTCTAGATATTTTAATGCATTGTCGACAGCTGTAGAAACATGTTACGCAACCGTTTGCATCCTAAACTATTATATGAGACCAATCTTTATGCAACCCATGCATAACGCAACCACCAAACGTTCTGACAATTCCCAACATTCTATTTAATAATGAGGACTTGTAAAACGCAAGCTTACATCTAACACCAATATTTATCATAATCCTGATGTCACGACCGCCCTTTATGCTATCAGACCGTTCAATTGGCTTTATCATCAGAACAGAGATCGTAAAGAAATACAAAGTTATTAAAAATGGGATGATGTTTTCATACTGATTTGATAAGTGTTTTATCCCGAAAAAGCAGCCGACCAGAGTAACACCAGAAAGGAGGCATGGAGGAAACCGTCTGCAAGCACGAGCAATTGATTTGATAGAGCTTCGAATTATAATCAATAATATGCCCGATCCCATGGTTCACCACCGAGTACTAAATAGAAATGTGAGTAGGATAAGCTATCCGAGGGCAAAAGCAAGGCAAACTATTTGAACACGACATTGTCCTCACCACTGTTAGTAAAAATATATGAACTAATTATCCATGAAGGATCTAATTTAATATTAGCACCCGAAAGAATTGTCATGTGGTGCTATCTGTCAAAGCGTATCGCTAGACCTGGCGGCGTATCCGACCGGAATGTCGTAAGTTTGTATTAATTTGTACCGAGCGCCATGTCCGGGCTACAGATTCTGGCAGCACAATAATGCAATCAATGTACTAAGCTCCGTTGGTGCGGTCAAGGTACAAAGCCTAAAGATTGGATGTACTGGCCGACCTATGTAGATTTCCGGAAAACACCTCACTCTCGAGAGCCGGCATTTTGTCCGTTCAGCAAAACAACTAAGAGTACAATGATGTAAGTGCGTTATCGAATTTAGCTAATAGACAGAAAAGGTCCAAATTCGAATCACAAACAATAATTGCAACAAAAAGTAATAAGGGTAGGAAGCAATCAATAACATGGTCAGCTGTGAAGGTCTACGTACCAGTTTCGCCAGAAAACATCAGCCGTAATATTTCACTTACATCTGTGTTACTATGAATATTGCACACACGATTAGCTATGTAGCAAAATGGGTAGCAGTGCGCTGCTCTGGGTCGCTACGAAGAGGCATAGGTAGAAACATCAGCGACCCTATCATAGAGTATTTGCTTCCAAGAGGACACGACATCCCCAGAGCAGATGCCTCCAGCGATTTCTATTCTGTGCCGCTACGTCATTCTAAAAGGCTCAGAAACCGTCTGTTGAAGATGCCTGAGGCGATCGCTATTATACCCACGCAGTTTGAATTGTGTTAGCAGAAAACCTTCGTAAAAGCTCACTAGTTCCCTTTTATCCGCGGAAATCCATTGACGTCGGATACTAGCAGCGTAACGCCGACTGCGACGCTTACCTCCAGTGAATCGACCTAATCACCGATCCAATTGACTGGTCTCGTTCAGAAGTTAGCAGTTCTCAACATAGCTTAAATTAACATGCAGGGTTGCGCGTTACTTTCTTATATTTGTTAGCACCTGAGGAGAATTATTGAAAAGCAAGTGCTGGTGGTGGTAACTATGTACTAGTGGGTTTTATTTCAATGTTTAGCATGATACGACTTTTTTAATTCCTAAGATTTTGCATTATAATACGAGGGGTCAGCGACACTGGGAAATGAAACAGCCGTACCAGCAGGATGGATGGAGACGGGTATCTCCTCTGCCTCTTAATATAACACTTTAAATTCATGGAGTTCTTTCGCTAGTATGGTTGAAAATGCTATTAGTGTCCATTACGCAAGTCCTTACCCCCTTTTATTTTATACATTTATCTGCAGCTCAAGATCGCAACAGGCATTTTTTAGCATCACTGTGTTATCTTTAAGAAACCTTTCACTTATGACAGATAAAATCTGCAATAGGCACTAATAGTAATGTTTATAATGTAAGCCAACGCTCTAAGTCCCATACCTTGTACAGCCGATCAGGGGGTCAAGGTGACTCTAGCTAGTGTTAACGTGCGCACAAAATGGAGGAAGAAATTTGTTAGTCTTAATGGGACTAAAAAGTACACAATCGTTCATTGTAAAGCGGCCTAGGCAAAGTCAATGGCTGAATAATTAATTAACACAGGATTAGTTCGTTCAGTTTTTTTTGTTTGGATGGCTTCGTCCCTCCTTTGTGAGAGGAATAATACGAAGTTGCATAAATGAACGCTGCCTACATCTTTTTCCAGTCTGATGATAAAGTAGTTAGAACTATCTTTGGCCTGATGCGGTACCTTATCACTGCGTACCTGGAGCTCTGGATATTTGTTGGCGGTGATATCAACTTGGCACATTAAGCTTATGCATTTTGACTTTCAAAAGGGGAGGTGGTATGATATCTCTTCGAAGCGGCACGCTTCACATATTCCAGTACGGTCATCTTGGGTCCATGAGCAGTACACTTAATACCTAACAACCATGTTTAATGGCCTGGAATTCGCGGAAACTACGATAAACTGGTTCGCTGATCCTTGAACCACTAAGGTTCCCACAAACGGTTTTTTGAATAGTTGTTCGTCGATTTTTCGTAGTTAAAGCAGAAATCCCAAAGCATGGCAAGCACATACCACACTTTAGTTATACAGCTACCTTAATTCAAACCTGCTCTAAACTGTTTCATTTCGTGACCATTTATTTTGCTTCCTCGTTGTTCATAGAGAATAATACAACGCCACTATTTGGTTGACGCGTGTTTACCATGATCCAGAGTGCTAAAAGTGTCCTTAAAATAGTTTGCTTTTTAGAGATTTCCACAGCTTTTACATCATATACTAGAATTACACATTGGTATGAAAACACCTAGTCCACATTTCAGACTAATTATTGAAAACATATTTGAAAAGCCTTTGATACCTAACCGAGGAACACTGAGCCCTTTTAGCAGGTGTACTGACTTTCTTACAGAACCTCCTAATATACAACTGTTAGTTGAAACGCTGTTCGGTTTTAGGCTACTCGCCACTTAGCAAACCCTCTCACTTAAACTTTATGTCGTGTCTCGTTCCAGAAATCAAGAACAGTCTGGGCCACCATCACAAACCATTATTAAGGATCATCAGGATTTCACTGGACCACATACCGTATACCGCTGTCTTCCGCTTACTGGCGTTTGCTATTACCTCCATCTAATTCGTTCGTGCCTGAAAACGTTAGAAATACTTTGCCGCCGTTTGCGATAGCACATGAGCGATTCTACCTTCAAACATTATGATATAATTTCAAGGAGGCCATTGAACAAGCAGCATCACAGGAAGCTGCACAACCGGCGTCCAGTTTCAAAACAAATCATCGCCTCTGAACAGAGCTTAGGAATAGAAAGCAACTATACACCAGAATTGTGTTCCTTCAGTTTGAGCACTTTTGTGAAAGTCCGGTGAAGATTTCACATGTTCCACTAAAAGTGTTGTCCTGAAGCTAACTATATGCGTTGACTATAACACATAACTTCAATCAGCGTCGTGTTCACGTGGAAGTGTTGATTTCCGTGATAGTTTAGGGTGGTAGCAGAGTCTTCGGCTGACATAGTGGTAATACCCGGTTTGTGTCTTAGACGTGCTATGTCTGCCTGTTGATTGCAATTAAGTGTCAAATCTTTCGCGTAATGCACAAATTTGATATAATAACACTTCTTAAACACTTGGCTGAGTGCTTCTTTCCTAAGCAGACGACTGGT